AGTGTGCAGATACAGACGTTGGTATGAACACGAGGGTCATTCTGCCATTGCTTCGGATGCGGTCGGATTGCGGCAACCCAACATCTCTAGTCATGGGAGGCTTGCTAAGGACCTTCCGGAACCTCCATCCTCTGGAATGTGACACAAAAGAGGGAAGTAGGAACGTGGGACCAAAACGTCAGGACGCAGCGCTATGGGAAAGAACGAGCCTAGAAGCACACACAGCCACGCCCTTTAGCCCCATCAGCCCAGCGGTCCTCATCTGGGCCATTTTGGCTCCGTGGGGACATGTAACGACATCTGCAGACATTTTTAGCTGCCAGAACTCGGGAGTGGGTGTTACTGGAATCTAATGGGTAGGGACCGGGAATACCGTTAAGTGCCCTACAATGCCCAGGATGGCCCCCAGCGCAGAGAAATACCTGGCCCCAAATGTCGGCTAGTCACACCCCGGCGCGGTCTCTGACCTGTCCTGCATTCTCAATAAATGTTTGTTGAATGAATGAGCAACTGACTGCTAAAAACGGTGTGTGCACACATGACCTGCACCAAATGGTTAGCAGCTTGAGGAGAGGAATAAGGAATAGGTTTGGGATGCTTTTATGCCTTATTTGCTTTTGTTTCATCCACTTTTTTTTTTTCTAACAGCCGCTTTTATCATTAAAAAGAAAGGAAAGAAGGATAAAAGGAGGGAGGGAAGGCCAGGAGGCAGAGAGTGAGGAAAGGACAGAGGAAGACCTTTGACAAGTGATTTCTGCTGTTCGGCCAGTTTTCAGGGCTCTGCAGGGGCGAGGCGTGGTCAGGGCGAGGGTCTCACCGGACTTTTGAGAAAATTAAATCAGTTTTCCCTTCGTGTAACGGCCTGTGGACGGCACAGGATGTAGGAAGTGTTCAGTGAACTCCCTCACCTTCACCAGTATTGAGAAGGGACCCTGCATACTGTTTTGATTTCTGTCTAGAATATTCTCCAGGCCCTCCGCTGGTCGCTCAGGTTGAGGGCGGGTCTCGGGCGTCCCTTTGATGACTTCAGGGGTGAAGTCTTGTGGGCCTGGGGAGCTCGAGGGCCCCAGCGGGTAAGTGGCGGCCTTCCACTTGCCCGCCCATCATCTCTCCTGGAGCTGGGCCAGGTGAGAGAGGCCGCAGCCCCCCACCCCTTTGCAGGGCCCATCTGCCCCTCGGGCCTGCACGGGGTTAATGGAGCATGAATGTGTTTGCGAGCGAGCAGAGGACCACGGGCCCCCCAGTACACTCCAGGCCCAGACATCGGGGGATCCGAACCCGCATTTTCCCTTCCTCGAGAGCAGATGCTGACCTGAGTCCGGGAACGCCGCTGGGTGGCTGCAAAGGCGTCTTTTAACCGAGCACTGTTGTCCTGGGAGACGGAAAACTTTCCCATCAATGCGAAAACGCAGAGAACCCTCACCCCCTACATGTAAGCCCTATTTAGCAGCAAATCCTTAAGCCAGCACTTGTAAAAAGCAGCCTGTTTGGGACTGACCTTCCCATTCATGTAACGTGATATCGCACGCTTGGGCGACCCCGTTGCGCAGCTAAACATATGTCGTCAGCTGGGCGCTGCTGCCCCTCTATTAAGATGGTTCTGGAGGCATATGTGGGAATGGGCCTGCCCTGGAGACCTGAGGGGAAAGGCAGGGCACAGGCAATTAGACGGAGCCCGCCCCGACCCCAGGGCCGGCTGCAGGAGGAAATCCAAGGCCGCATCTCACGGGCATGGCAACAATTAAGGTCAACAAATGATCATGGAAAAGGAAACTTTAGAAAATAGGAACCTGGTTAAATGACCCAGTAAAGGCTCGGCCCTGCCCCCCAGACTGCCCTGTGCAGGGGTGGCGGGGAGGGGTGCTGCATCTGGGCCTCATGTGGACCAGCATCTCCCCGTCTTTTGGGGATAATGACTTCCCTTTGCAATTTCCTGGAGGAAGTTGTTGAAATGATCTTCCAGTGATAAAATAAGCGGGTGATTCTTAATTTTCAGTCTGCAGTCTTTTTCCCCTTCCAGTCCAATCTCCTAATTAACTCGGGTCAGCAGCCTCATGCAGAAATCTCTCTCTCATTCTCTCTCTCTCCCGTCTGCGCCAAAGGGAGAGAGAGATTCAAGCCGAGGACGTTTGTCTTGTCCAGGATGGGATGGGCTGGCCCTGGGCTGTCTGACTGTGGGGGGCATGAGCCCTCCAGCTCTGTGGATGAATGTAGGCACCACTGGGGTCGAGGGGGAGAACTTCCCATTTCCCCAAGGACGATAACGCTTCTGCTTACAAAGCACTTCCTAGAAAATCTTGACCTACACTATCCAACATGGTAGCCACCAGCCACGTGTGGCTATTGAGCACTTGACATGGAGCTTGTATGGCAGAGGAGCTGGATTTTTTAATTCTATTTCATTTCACTTCATTTAAATCTAAAAGCTGACAACGTATTGGAAAACTTGAAGTACTCCTGGAACTACTTAGGTGTGTGAATCTACTTTGCGGCCAGTGCATTTAAAAAAATCTAAAGAGAGATTAAGTATTTTTATTGAAACAGTAGTGTCTGAATTGAGGTGTGCTCTACGCGCAAAAATACACACCAGACTTATTTTTATTTTTTAAGTTTATTTTTATTTTTTATTTCGAAAAATGTTTATGTTTATTTATTTTTGAGAGCGAGAGAGACAGAGCATGAGCAGGGGAGGGGAAGAGACAGGGGGAGACACAGAATCTGAAGCAGGTTCCAGGCTCCCAGCTGTCAGCACAGAGCCATTCTCGGGGCTTTAATCCACGGACAGTGAGATCATGACCTGAGCCAAAGTCAGACACTCAACTGACTGAGCCACCCAGACACCCCTATTTATTTTTATTTTTGAGAGACAGAGAGAGAACGAGTAGGGGAGGGACAGAGGGAGAGAGAGAGAGAGAGAAAGAATCCCAAGCAGGCTCTGCCCCGTCAGCACGGAGCCCAATGTGCGGCTCCAACTCATCAACCGTGAGATCGTGACCTGAGCCGAAACCAGGAGTCGGACGCTTAACCAACGAGCACCCCCCCGGCGCCCCAAAACACACCAGATTTTTAAGCCTTCGTAAGAAAAAAAGTAAAACATCTAGTTATATAATTTTATGTTATTTATACAACAATGTGAATATATGTAACATGACAGGAAGACACACTCAAAAATACTTAAGATGGTACATTTAATGCTATGATGATTTTACCACAATAAAGAAAATTAACGTCGCCGGTTTCTTTTTTACTTTTTACCAGAAAACGTAAGATTACGTCTGTGGTTCGAATTCTGTGTCTGTTGGACGGCGCTGCGTGTCCAAGTGCAACCCGGGGCAGTCCCAGCAGGCAGCTCTGTGGACAGCACCCCTGCCTGAAGGCCCCTCACCCCACGCAGGTGGGAGGGAGACGTGAAACGGCTTTCGAGAACAAGACGCAAGCAAGTGTCTTGGACCAGGACCTGGAGGTCAGATGAGAACAGCCTCTCGGCTCCCAAACCTTCCTGCTTCCTTCTCTGGGGGCAGGACCCGCGGGGACCAGACAGCTTGCCTGTGGGCGCGGGCATGGTGGCCGCCCCACGCCTGGCAAGTGCCTGCTCGGTTAATAAAACCAGACTCTGCCTCGGAAGCCCGACCGTGTCCGAGGGTGTCTCTGCCCCAAACCACTCCCCCCGCCTCTTCCCCTCTAAAGTGTAACTTACAAAGCTCCAGCCTGAAATGAGAAAATTCTTTCCTCCCTGGGGGTGTCTTTTGCAGAGCCCTTTACAGACCCCTGACACGGTGATTCTTTCCCCTTCCTCAGAATTTTCCAGGCCTCAGTGAAGGCGGAGCTGCGAGAGAAGCAGTTTTGAGCCCAAACTTTACAGTCCGAGGGGGTGGAATTTAAACCTTGCCCTGACGTCCCTGGGGTTTCCACCTCTGTGACCCTCCTCAGGCTGCTCGGTCTCTCTAAGCCTCCAAGCTTGATCTGTAAAATGGGCACGATACAAAGAGCCACTTCAGTGGGGGGAAACAATGAATCGATTTGAGCAAAACGTGCGGCACAGGGTCAGCCTGGGCAAGTGCTCTGCGGACGGGAGAGCCCGTGACGGAGGTAGGCTCGGCCAGCCATCCTGACTGCTCTCCTGCAAACCCCCGGCCCCGTGGAGACCGCACCTTCATAGCTGGACTGGGCCCCAGGCTGTCCCCGGACACGGCCAGAGCTGGGCTGCCGGGGTGACACCCAGCCCACGGTGACGTAACACACAGTGACAGCTGTCACAACTCCTCGTGGGTCATTGTGCCATGAAGCCTCCGAGCAGGGAGCGTCCACTGGAGGCGGGCACGCTTGATTTCGGCATCCGTTCACTTCACTCCTCAAATGCCCACGGAGCTTACATTCTGCACCAGCTGCCGGCCGGGCCTCGGAGACTGTCATGTGAACAAGGTGGATGGGCCCCCTGCCCTCAAGGGGTGGACATTCCCCCCGCGGGACACAGGGGGCAGGCACACCTGACCAAGATGGTTTCGGATTGTGACAGGCGTCTAGAGGAAGCCTGGGGGCAGCGCTGGGGCCGGCCACGGGGCAGGTACTTGTAATCAGGATGTTCTCCGAGGGCTCGAAGCAGAGGGAGCTTTTCAGCCGGACCTGAAGTCTGGGATCAGAAAGCAACCAAGGGAAAAGCCGGCCCTGAAGCCACCGGGAGAAGGAACAGAGTACAGGTGTCTCCCGGAGACAGCGCCATCCTGACCACCAGAGGGGGGCGATGGAGGACCTGGGCCAGGAGTCTCAGACCCCCCGACCCCCACCCAGAACAGTCTGAGAAGCCCTAAGGATGAGGCTGCAGTTCCCATTCTTATCTAATAAACTATGACATGAATACAAGGATGTCCGGCAAAGCTCTGAAATTTCCAGGACGGCCACGTGGGTTCCCTTTGTTTTTAAAATCTCACTTATGATTTATTTCCTCCTGGGTTTCTGCTCAGTTGTTGGCCGTCTCTGCTTTGTGGTGACCATGGCCTTCAGCCCAAGCAGTGGGGTGAGGAATCGAAGACAGGCGCGCTCGCTCGGGGCGGAGTGATGGCTCGCAGCCCTGGGCACAGGACATACGGGCAGGTGCCCGTTCCCACCCCAGGTAAGGTGAATCGGGGCGTTCCTCCTGGCTAGACACTGCTCTGGTGGGAGAGGGGCGGATCGGTGGCCATGACTGACAATTGCTAGGTAGGGCAGTGGCCCCCATGCCAACTTATTCACAACACCTGTCATCACGCGCTTTCAGCAAAGCCCTCCGTTATGATTTAATTTATGCCTCGTGTGTCATAAGCCAGCGCAGACTGTTTCCGAGCCATCGTGCGGACTCCGCTGTTGATGAGACGTGTGCCTTCTGACAGATGTTAGGCTTGACTGTCGGAGGGCCCCTCCCGGCCCCAGCCCTTCAGCCCCAAGGTGGAGGTTGCTGGTGGGTAACTCTAGGCCTGGAGAGCAGAGCTGCGAGGGGGGAGGGGCAGAGCCGCACAGCGGAGGGGCGGGAAGTGGCTCTCAGGTTTGGGGTGTTCCACCACGCCGCTGGCCGCTGTGTGACGGAGAAGCCAACGACAGACGTCGCAACAGGCCAGAGACCTTCCAGAACTGCCTTAATTTCTCAGCCACCTGAACAGGAATTTTGGCGTTGCACTTAGGGCCAGATTCTCGCCACGTGTTAACCTTGCTTGATGGCTGTAAATAATCCCACGCTTATATGCAAGGAGATGTCAGTGCATAATTGATCCTTCGAGGAATGCCAGCCGATGGGAGTGTATGATTTACATTTGACAGCCTGCGCCTGCGCTTGAATTTGAAATGTCAAACAAGGGGCTATAGGTCCTTCTGTCCATGCACCATACCTGGCAGGTGTTAATGGAGGGAGCGTGTGGGGATGCCATGGTCCTATAATCCTAAAGGATGCTCAGACTTGCTATGGTTGAATTCATTTCCTTTTTCCAGGAACCAATTTCCCACTTTACAAAAGGGTGGAGTCTTTTTGTTTGTGCTTTTAGTCTGATGTTGGGAGTCAAAAGGGCACCAACGGGCTGTGTATGCTCAGTTCCCTTAGAATATACTAGAATATACTCTCTTTCCTTTCACAAAGGAAGAGAGAAAGGGATCTGGAAAACAATCCGCGCACCCACTGCCCCGCACCACAGTATTCAGTGGCCGTAGCTGCCCTAACAAACTACTAGGAATGTAGTGGCTTAAAAAAGACAAATTTATTATGTTCCAGTTCTGGAAGCCGGAGGCCAAAGCACGCCTCATCGGACTATTTATAATTAAGCTGGTGACAGGGCTCTGTTCCTTCTGGAGATGCTGGAGAAGACCTATGTCACTGCTGCTTCTAGCTCCCAGAGGCCTGCCACACTCCTTGGGTGGTGGCACCTTCCTCCGTCTTCAAAGCCAATCATATTATATCTTATTATAATCTTATTATATTATATCCGATCATTATTTCATCATTGAATCATGTGACTCTCTTCGTTTGCCTCTCTCTTCCACCTCTAGGGAGCCTGTGCTGACATCGCCCTCCCCCCCGGTTATCCAGAAACCTTTCTATTTTCAAGTCAGCCGATTAACCATCTCAGTTCCACCTGCAACTTTCATTTCCCTTTGCCACGGAAAGTGACATACCCCCAGGCTGTGGGGAAGAGGACATGGACATCTTTGGAGGGAGGGACGGTATTCTGCTGGCCACATCACATTTTCATCAAGTTGGACCGAACGCATCCCCCCATTAGATGCTAACAAAGGACCACACACCATCACCAAAAAGTCTGTCCCCACAGGCCGGTTGTAGGGAGCGGCGATCCCACCTCTGCACCCGCGAACCTCCCCGCAGGGCTGAACCCACAGCCAGAAGAACCAAGCCGGAAGCCGACTCTGGGCAGAAGGAGAGAGTGCTGTGGGGCTGGGACTTCCTGGCTGGAAGGCCACGTGCGTGAGGTCGTCGCTCCCTTCCTCCTTGTGTGGGGATGAGACACTGCTCCTCTGGCCACTTTCAGCATTGAAAAAGGAAACGACCAGGTACTTTGTGGACATCTTTTAAAAAGAACCTGTGGGGGCGGTGGCTCAGCCGGTTGAGCACCCAACTGTTGATTTCAGCTCCATCATGATCCCAAGGTCGTGGGATCGAGCCCCACATCGGGCTCCACACTGAACATGGAGCCTGCTTGAGATTCTCTCTCCTTCTGTCCTTCTCCCCACTTTAGGAAGGAAGGGAGGGAGGGAGGGATGAAGGAGGGAGGGAGGGAGGGAAAAAGGAAAGCAGGTGATAGTTTAAGAAGAAGATGCAGTTTGAGAGGTTTTAGAGCCTGGATGTAGAGTCGGTGAGATCTGGATCAATGCCCAGCTCTGCAAGTCACTCCCGTGGAGGCCTTACTCTTCTCTTCTGTAAAATGGGGGCAATAATGATCCCCACCTCTGGGCTCCTTAGGAAAATTAAATCAGACGATCTGCCTAAACAGCTTTGTCCATTGCCAGCACTCAGCTATAGTTTTTATTAATATTCTCACTAGGATCCTCTAGATTAAAAGAGAAGCCCCCTTTTAATTAGCCTTTTTCTTTCTCAACAGCATAATTTACTTAGATGCCAAGCACACGATTGTTACATTTCTGCCATTTCATGCAGACACTTCCACAAACCACACTCCATGATCTAGAAAATGATGGTATTTCAGCCGAGCGGCAGAATCCAGGAGACCCGTGGGCTCCCGCGAAGGGGCTGGGTGGGGGCCTGGGGACAGAGATTTTGTCCCTTCAGTTTCATCCACTGCATTTCTTCTAAGCGTGTACAACCAGGGGTCGTTCTGACCATCTCTGCCTCGGCAGCCCATTCGGGTAAGATTAGTCTAGACGGCAGCGTCCCACAGGGAAAATCACCCGCTGTCTGACCTGGAAATCCCAGCCCCACAAAGCCGTCGTGCTGAAGTGCGAAGACGCCGTCCAGCTTGCAGCACGCGGCGGGATAAAGGGGAGACAGGACCCCTTCCTCTGGGGGAGAGACGGCTGGGCTGGGCTGCACCAGGAGCGGAGCGCTGATGTGGGTGATTAAAATGCCGGGGGTGTGCAGGCTTCGACCCCCGCCCACCACGTACTTGTCGCCCGCCACAGAAATGCACTTTGTACCGAGAGCTCACCAACTGCTAAGTCGGAGGCTCCACTGGGCCGCCTGTCTGCACCCGGGCTGCGTCAGACCCGGCTGGGCATCTGGGCCCCAGGACGCCTGGCACTGCTGCCGGGGGGGAGGTGTCCTGAGCCTGGACTGGAACCTTCCAGAGTTCAGATGTTCTGCTGTGATGGCCCCAGGCCCTGGCGATGTCTCTGGAATTCTATTTTCTTCACTCCTGCATGGCAGGCGGCGGGTGACCGCGTTTGGCGCCGTCTTCCCCTGGGAGGCAGGTGTCCGCATCGTAAACGCCTATGAGGAAAAGCAAAGCTGAGGTTCGGTGAGGTGGCAAGGCCCACCCAGGGTCACAGTGCAATTTCAGAAACGCCCCGAGGGACCCAGGGCTGGGAGGTGACACTCCCGTGCTAACTCCCCCCGGGGGTGGGGGTGCAGGGGGGTGCTTGCTTCGTCCCCCCCACTTAGCCTCCCCCGCAGTTCGGCTCAGCGCTCCGCACGGGTGTGTGCTCAACAAACCTCTGATGAGTGAATTAATGTGTCTCAATATTTTCTAGGTAACCTGTGGGGGGACAATGACCTACAATTTTGAGAACTGCTCTTTGTAAGTGTCTACCACGCCTTCTCCTTTCCTGAGGTCTCCAGGTCTCCTCAGCCCCACCAGTGGCCGCCTGGCCCATCCCGCGTTTCTAACAAAAAAAAAAAAAAAAAAGGAAAAAGGATTATCACTGAGACCTCACTGGCCCTCGGCAGTCACATCCCCTCTATCAGCAGCTCCTCCAGATGTTCGACTGGGAAAGGAGGTTTCTCAACACGCCTCTCCCCACCCGCACGGCTGCTGGGCATCGTTCCTGCCTCAGCGCCTCCTGCCTGTAAGAACACCCCCCTCCAAACTGGTCTTCCTGCTTCCGCTCTGCTCCTCCATAAGATACAATCAGGCGGGGCTGCCAGTAATAGAAATCCCCAAATAATAGAGGCCTGAAATATACACAGGTTCATTTCTGCCCTTCTGGGGCAAGCAGGGGGCTTCGTGGGGGTCACTAGGAGCCCAGCTCTCTTCTTTCTCTCTGGTCAGCCATCCTCTGCTCATGACCTGATACCTCTCGGCCCAAGATGGTTGCTTGAACTCCAGTCATCAGCAGTAGGAAGAAAGAAGGGAGTGAAAGTCATGTCCCCTCTTTTCAAGGACAGTTCTTGGAAACCATGTGGCACACGCCCCTTTACATTGCATTGGCCGGAACCCAGAACTGAGGCTTGAGAAGCGTGGTCCGTACTGTGGCGGTGGTGTGCCAAGTCGACTCCCAGGGCTCACTCCCTAACAAACAGGGAGAAAGCGGGTGCCTGGGGGGCTCAGTCATTAAGCATCTGACTTTGGCTCATGTCATGATCTCAAGTCTTTCGTGAGTTCGAGTCCCATATTGGGTGAGTCAAACCCCACTTCTCTCTCCTTCTGCTTCTGTCTCTCTCTGCCCCTCCTGGGGATCCTCTCTCTCTCTCTCTCTGCCCCTGGCTCACCTGTGCCCCCTCTCTCAAAAATAAAATGAAACAAGAATAATGCCTATTGGAGAAATCTCGGCCACGCAATCCCACAGGCCAAGCTCCATCAACCACTCAACTGATAACCTAAGATCACATCGCGCACACTGAGAGCAGACTCCAAATTCCTTCGAGAAAAGAAAGGTGGTGGCCTAAGTCCTCCCCCGCCAATCCCTTCTCCTCCCTTGTGTCCCCCAAGACTTCTTCCTGTGCCCCTAGTGCATTAAAGCCCCAGGCTTTCTGCACTGGGCATTCTTTCTCCCTGGGGCGCCCTTTCTTCCCAGGAGGATGGTAGCTGACTCTTTCCTCCTGTGTCCTCAGCAGGTAGACATCGGTCCCGGAGTGCGTGCAGCCTGCCTCTGGTGCCTACAGCAGCCAAGCACCCCCCAACTTCCCTCCCCAAGTCTTGCTGCATTGGTTGGTTTCGCTAGCTGTCTTCCTAACTACTCTCACCATCTGAAATGACCTTACGCGTCTGTTCCCGCCTCCCCTCCGCCCTCCCCGCCCCCAGGAAAGCACAGCCTCTTGTGTGTGGTTTGTTTGAACCAATACTGCGGGGCAGGTCCTGTGGGTACCACCCCCCAGCCTCCACTGCTTTGCAGAGAGAACATTCTCTCTAGGCCTACCGTAGCCACGTGATCACAACGGGGCTGTCCATCAGCGTGCGCGGACACCAAGTCCCAGGACCCCTATCTGACCAGTGGTGGCCCTCCGTGACTTGGACATGGGCCACGAAGGGCCTTTAATGGGAGGGAGCCAATCAAAGGGGTTTCCTCGTTCCTTCGATCCCTCCCTTCGGTGCTGAAGGAAAAGGAGGAAGTGGCTTTGCTCTGAGCACTGCGGTGCTGGAAGGAAAAGCCGGAAGCCGGGGAGATACGTTCCTCATGTAGGGACAAGTCTGCCCGCAGTGATGGAGGAGGAGGCGAAACCGGTCAGAGCACGCCACCCCAGAATAGGCCACTTTGGCACATTGATTACTTTGAGCTGAAGGCAACTGGGAAACAGCAGATAGAGGAAGTGTCCTCTGACCCCCTCCTTTCTATCTGAGGAAGCCCTAACTTTCCAGAAGAAAGATGTCCTTCCTGCACCAGGAAGAGCGGAACATTCTGATCGCGGGAGATGAGGAATCAACACAGAGATGACTCTGTACAAAGTAACCCTGTCTTCTATTAGGTTTCCCCATCTTCTTTCCTGGTCACTTTCCCAACAATTTCCTGCCCCTCCAGCAAACCCCTTTTTCCTTTGGCTTGACACGTCTGCACGATGTATCATTCTTTGTGAAGATACTATGTGAGCTCTCAGCCCTCATTGCTTCTCAGGGTTTCTCACCTCTTTCTATGAAGCCTCCATGCCACATAAAAATAGTAATATCAGAAAAAATGTGTATGCTTTATCTCCTGTGAATCTGTCCTTTGTCCGTTCAATTCACGGGCTCTACTCACAGACACCAAGAGGGTAGAATAAAAGTCTCCCCTCTCTAACAGAGGCAGCGCCCAATGAGAAACATTGTCGGAGATGGAAAACGAGGGAGATGTAGGGAGCATGCATGCCTGAAGACGTTACCGATGTGCCTGGATGCAGCCCAGCCTAAAGTGTCTCTGGGCTTCCCATTTCCTTGAGTCAGTAAAACTCCTTTGCTTTTATTAAGCCAGTTTGCAACAGAGTACTGAGTATCATCATTCCCCATTTTATAAAGGAGGATACTGAGTTTGAGAAGTTAAGTACTTTATTTATGGCCACAGTGCAACTAGCAAAACTGGGATTTAAACCCAGATCTTAAAGCCAAAGGGATTCCCATGAGATGAACTCCTTTGCCCTTCTGCATGTCTTCTTCAGGGGCCAGGGAACTTAACTGTAGAGCAGATCTAGAAGCAGGTACCTTTGGGGAGAAGGAAAAGAATGAGAAGAGGCAGTAGATCTCTTTCAGCCCAGGGTTGCAGGAGAAAGTGCCATCTAGAGCTTTGCCTTTGACACTTAGCTCATCATTTCTCTAAGAGGAAAGCAGAGTTTCTAAGAGAAATGCAAAGTTTTCTCATGCGGAGGTCTTTTTTTTTTTTTTTAATGTAACATAAGCCAAGAGGAAGACTTCAATTTCTAGACTAGTCATTAATAATGTACATTTAAAACCAAGCCAAGCCTTCCAAAGCCAAACAAAATGGTAAGAGTCTGTATTTTGATCATGTTTGCCTAATTGCTGTATTTAGGCGATTAATAGGCCGGCGGGCCAATGGAGGAAGCTTGGTTATGACTTTGAAACCCTCCCAAATTGCTAAATCCACCTGAAATCTGATTTCACTCTTCTTTTGGGAAAAAAAATGCATTCCAAACATTAGCCGAGATTTTTAAAAATGCGCATAAATATTTGCAATCAGTATCAGTAGGCCCTCAAGATAAATAGTCATAAAACAATATTGTGACCGCATTTTCCCCTCCCGCTAAACAACTTCCTCAGAGAAGGAAAGGTTAGACTCATCAGAAGTAAATTAACTGCAGCTGCAGCCAACATTTCCTATTTTTAAGAGAAAGAGGTTTGCAGTGATTGTGCTGAGTCCTCACGGAGTGGGCTGCGGTGGAGACTTGGGGTGGCCTGCCTGGGTTAGGGCGAGGTGCTGGAGGCACACCCTTGCCTTGTGACCCTGCTCTTTATTGGGGCGCCCGGCTGGCTCGGTGGGCAGAGCCTGCGACACTTGCTCTCTGGGTCGTGAGTTTGAACACCCCCAAAACACCATGCTTTCTAGAACACCTCGGAAAGGCCAGTGGTGGCTCCCACGGCGGCAGAGGAGCAAGGGGTGTCTACGGGGCACGCACCAGCTTCCCTGTCTTCTGTGGGGCCTCTGAGCTGGATGGTAATTCAAGTGTACGCATGTTTTAAAGTGTTATTTTTAAAAACAGCGCATTGTTTTAATTTACACAGCTAGGAGCTGCCAAAAGTCGTCCATGCTGCCGCCGAAAGAAATTTAGCTTCCAGATTGATTAAGTCTCTGTGTGGTTAATTGCAAGTGGCTGGCTGATACTGTAGGAGAGGGGGTGGGGCTGTCGCCCGCGTGTCAGCCTCTCAGATGCGGGTTTTCCAACCCACTTTGTCCACCTCATCGGTCACCAGCACCAGGATACGGAGCTGCCGGCCCGACCCAATGACCCCGTTAGTGGCTGAATGCGTTCAGGGTTAAGGTGAAGGTGACGTGCTCACTCATTCATTCGGCACACGTATCCGGTGTCTCCTGGTCACCGTGTACCGTCCCCGTGTGCTGGAAACACAAAGCAGCACAGGCTTCCCCTCCGGAAGCTCGAATTCCAGTGAGGATGGAGGAATGAGAGTGATCAACAGATTGTGTGCATGTGTGTGCATGCGTGTGTATTTGTGTGTGTGTGTGCGTGCATGGATGTGTGTACATGTATGTGTGCGAGTGCACGCATTGCCTGTGTGTACACGTCTGCGCGTGTGCATGTGTGCACACATGGCTGTGTGCGCACGCCCCTGTGTGTGCGCATGAGCGTATGTGTGCATGTGTGCATGTGTGTGCATGTGTGTGCGCATGGACGTGTGCACGAGTGTGCACGCGTGTGCGTGCATGTGTGCATCCGTGTGTGTGAGCGTGTATGTGTGTGCACATGTGCGGTGAGTGATCAGAAGAAACAGGAAGGGAAAAGAGTTTGGGGAGTAGAGAGAAGACAGTCCACTTCATTTTGTGTTGGTCACTTAACACTGTTGTGCCCAATTGGCGAGTCCCCAGAGACCTCCAAGGAGCCGGCACCGATGCAAATACAAAAGGGTCTTTATTACAATCTCGAGCAGAGCTCACCTGCCTACCGGTGTCGTGGCAGCAAGGTGAAGCCAAGAACAATAGCGAACAGGGTTTTTAAGGAGTAAGGGATGGGGGGGTTACAGTACATGTAGCATCATCACACAAGCACCAGTTACAGTTGTACAGCAGCACCCATGGTAACAGAATTGACCATTCAGTATCTGTGAGGTGTTCGTTACTTTTGGTGGGACCCAATCATGACTTTTGAGAATCCTTTGAAAATGACCAATTATGAGGTGAGTTCAGAGGGCCCACGTGGGGTTCAGGCAAGTGGTGAGAAACTGGCTAGCTTGTATCTGCAGTTCCCAGCCTTGACTCAGACCATAGGAGTGTTTCTTTTTTTTTTTTTGTTGTCTGATTAGCTGAACTGAGGGCGGTCCGAGGATGGCTTTAGCCTTGAACAGTCTGAGGCTTTTCCTGGGACTGGGACTGGGGCTACGTGCAGCCCGAGGTTCTCTTAATGGAGGACTTAATTTTTGGCTCTTCAACACTGGATTATAAAAGCTCCTTTTCTTGCAACGTTCTTTGTTCAGCAGGTCACATTTTTCTGGGCCAAGAGGTCGCAGTTAGTCCAGAGCTCTAGCGCTCAGGTTCTGGCTCAGGACGGTGGATTTAAGTCCAACTTGCCACCCACGTGCTCAAGAAAGAACCTGGGTGACCTGCTTACCCCTGACACACCTTCACTTTCTCACCTGTAAACTTAGAGCAATAACCAAATCTGTGTCATGAGTTGTGGCAAACGCAAGTCACATGTGCAGTGAGAGCTCTCTCTGCAGTGTTCGGTCGGGAGAAGGGGGTCGGTCGATATCACCTGAGGTTTCAGTGCCTTCAGTTCCAACGGCCCCTTTACACGGCTGCATAGTACTCCAGCCTCTGCACAGCCCACAACCCACCCAACCCATTGCCAGATGTCGCGGTGGTTTCCGGGCTCTGCTGTGACGATGCTGCAGGGCACTTTGCTGTCAGGTCACACTTCTGGACATGTGCATTCTGTGCAAGCGCCCACAGTGGGTATGAACACACACTCTGGCAGAACCCCCATCGCC